TTTTATTGTCCAAAATTTATAATATTTGATAAATAATGTTTATTAAATATACTAATCATAATTTCATAACAAAATTGTAAAAGTCAATCATTTGTTATATGTTTAATAATAGGGTCATTTTGACCCCTAAGTGGTACTTCTGTTTTATTTATTTGTCCGCAGTAGTTACGGGTTAAAATAAATGTAAAAAAAAGATCAAAATTATATAATTCGAATGGATTTTTGTTGCTTCAAATATTTGCAGCGAAATAGTTTACGTTTTATTGGCACTATGAATAACGAATGTCGAATAAATAAATAAATGAACGTTGCATTTAAGCTGTCATTCAAAATATACTCTATTTCCTGCAGAATCTAATATTTATGATGATCGACGCATCCACCTTAATCACATTTGACAAAATAAAAAAAAATGATGCAAAAGTTCACACATACAAAAATTTCCAAATATCGAAACCAAAGTGCAACAGCAAAAATGAACTAATGAATGCGGTTATGGATCAACGATGGTTTTGTTTTTTTTTTTAAATCGGTTTTCATTTGTTCGCAAAAAGGTGACGCAACTTGATCGAAACTGCATTAAAATTATTATTTTTCGACGGTTTTCAGCGTGACCTTGTTTCATTTTTATCGTTTGTTCATCGGTTTTACGGTCGATGCAACGAGTGTTCCGTTATTCCCTCTAAAAACTATTAAAACGCTTTTAATACTTTAATTTATTTCATCTAATTTAGAAATTATAATTTTATACGTTGTTTGTTGGTATTTTATGATCGATACACCGGGTGTATTTAATTGCTCATTTGTTTCTATTTTAATTATCATAAAATGATAAATTTTACGGGTATTTCCAAAACTATTAACTTCAGTTAATTGTACTTTTCATGATAATTTCATAACTAATTCAATACTAAATAAATAAAATATTTTTTTTTATAAATCAACAATTTTTCAATTCAAAAACTTGTACTCTAAATTATTCAATATTAAGTAGTTATAACAAATTTTACTCCAAAAACACAGTTTTTAACCCAAATTTTGATGATCATTACAGACACACCAAATTATTCAATTTTGTTTTTAAAATCTAGAAATTTTCAGTTCAAAATTTACTTTAAATAATTCAATAATAAAACATTCTTTTATTAAATCAAAATATTACAGACAAATTTTGTGATTGACGTTTTTTTAAATGTAAAATTGACGCATTAATTGACGCAAATTCAATACAGAAAATATTGGTTATGTAAAATTGACATATGTCAAATTAATTTATTATAAAACGATAAATTTTACGGGTATTTCCAAAACTATTAACTTTAGTTAATTGTACTTTTCATGATGATTTCATAATTAATTCAATACTAAATAAATAAAATATATTTTATAAATCTACAATTTTTTAATTCAAAAACTTTTACTTTAAATAATTCAATATTAAGTACAAATTTTACTCCAAAAAAACACAGTTTTTAACCTATATTTTGATAATCATTACAGACACACCGATTTATTCAATTTTGTTTTACAAATCTAGAAATTTTCAGTTCAAAATTTTCCTTAAAATAATTCAATATTAAGACATTTTTTTATTAAATCAATTGATGAATATTGCAGACAATTTTTGTCATTGACGTTTTTTTAAATGCAAATATGACGTATTGAAAAATGACATATGTCAGAAAATATTGGTTATGTAAAATTGACATCTGTCAAATTAATTTGACTTATTAAAATTACTGTTTAGAAATTCAGAATATTCCAATAAGATATAAATCATTGATGATATAATTTATTTATTTATTACAACTTTTCGTGTATATTTCATGTTTCTTTACAAATACACACAAAAAACTTTGATTTATGAATGTTTGCTTTAGTTTTTGATTTATTTTTTCCTTAGATTTCCAACGGAATAGGATGTAATAAACATTTGGGAATGTCCTTGATCGAAAGCTGGAATTATTAGCTCAATCTGTGTTTTAGCAGATAAAGAGTAAACAAAGGGTGAGGATGAGCGGTGTCGAATTCCCGATGGATTTAGGCTCAAAATCCACTCAAAAACATATATAGATGTGTGAGAGAAACACTACAATAAACGTGTAAAATGATTGAGAAATCTGAAGAAGTTCCTTTCAATTTTTCGGCATTTTTCATTGGAAAAATATACTTTCTAAATTTTTTTATTATTATTTTCAAATTAATCAAAGTAATGTAAAAAAAAAACTTCAATTGTTTCTTGAATATTTTTAAGTGTGTATTGAGTTGCCTACAAGTGATAATTTTAAATTTCTCAATTTATGATTCAAAATTATTAATTTGTACGATTTTATGTAACAATTCAATAGAAAATTAACTTTAAAAATTCAATTAAAATTTGAAATTTATTATTAAATTCACTAAAAGTAAAAAAAATATTGTTTTTGTTACATTTAGCTTCAACTGAGCTCAAGATATTAGTTTCAGGAAGAAAAGATCATTACTTTTTCTTTTATCCATTTGTATGTTTGCAGCACCATCGGCTGCAGCTCCCATGAGGTTGAATGAGGGTTGGTTCTGGTAAAGTAAGGGAGTCTCATGAGGCGAAGTCCCAGTAGATTAATTGAAATAAATAGATCTGTGACCTGCACACTTCGAAACCAGATAAAAGAAAAGAAATGTTCGGACTTAAGATGTATTTCACGCATTCTCGATAATCCTTTTGACCTTATCTTAATCCTCAACATTAAGAGTGTAATCATCTAAAGAATTTGCGATTTGTGCTTAATTTACTGTTAAATTAACAAAATATATGTCAAATTTGACAAATTACTGTCAAATAAACAAATGAACAAAGTGAAAGTATTAGAACATGAAATGTGTAATTTATGAGCAAATATACTGTCAAATTTTATGAAAATAAGTCAAATTTTACAGTATTACTGCAGATTAAGAAAATCAAATGTGTCATTTATGAGTGTTTTGAATAAACTTATTGAGAATATTTATATTTTACTAAATATACTTAATCTTCACCATCAACCATGAAAACATGCAAATAATTTGCGATTTGTACATAATTTACTCTAAAATTTTATGATTTTAGCAAAATATGTCAAATTTGACAGTATTATGACAGATTAACAAAATCAAATTTGTCAATTATGAGCGTTTCGAACACTTAAATTATTGCTTAAACCAATTAGAAACTTGTTTTATTGTTATAATAATTATTACTAAGAATGTTATAAATCAAAGATTTGACAGATGTCACTTTTCAATATGTCAATTGTCAAGTCCATATGTCATATCCGTATTTTCCTTTAACCTTATCTTAATCCTGAACATTAAATATGTAATCTTCCAAACAATTTGCGAATTGTGCTTAATTTACTGTCAAATTAACAAAATAAGTCAAATTTGACAGTGTTATGACAGATTAAGAACATAAAATATGTAATTTATGAGCGTTTCGAATAGACTGATGAGAATATTTATATTATACTAAATATTCTTTAATTACTGCTTAAATCAATTAGAAACTTGTTTTGTTGTTATAATAATTATTACTAAAAATGTTATAAATCAAATGATTTGACAGATGTCACTTTTCAATATGTCAATTGTCAAATCCATATGTCATTTCCGCATTCCCGATATTCCTCTTGACCTGAACATTAAATATGTAATCATCCAAACAATTTGCGAATTGTGCTTAATTTACTGTCAAATTAACAAAATATGTCAAATTTGACAGTATTATGACAGATTAAGAACATGAAATATGTAATTTATGAGCGTTTCGAATAGACTGATGAGAATATTTATATTTTACTAAATACACTTAAATTATTGCTTAAACCAATTAGAAACTTGTTTTATTGTTATAATAATTATTACTAAAAATGTTATAAATTAAATGATTTGACAGATGTCACTTTTCAATATGTCAATTGTCAAATCCATGTGTCATTTCCGCATTCACCTTACCTTAATCCTCAACATTAACTGAGTAATCATCTAAACAAATTGATAATTTTACATAATTTACTGTCAAATTTTATGATTTTAGCAAAATATGTCAAATTTGACAGATTAACAAAATCAAATGTGCCATTTATCAGCGATTCGAATAAACTTATGAAAATATTTATAGTTTACTAAATATTCCTAAATTTCTGCTTAAACCAATTAGAAACTTGCTTTGTTGTTATAATAATTATTTCTAAAAATGTTATAAATCAAATGATTTGACAGATGTCACTTTTCAAAATGTCAATTGTCAAATCCATATGTCATTTCCGCATTGACGTTACCTTAATCCTCAACATTAACTGAGTAATCATCCAAATAAATTGATAATTGTAATTAATTCACTATCAAATAGAATGGTTTTAAGAAAATATGTCAAATTTGATATGTTAAATTAATCTGACAGATGTCATTTTAAATTTGTCAATTTTACATAACCAATTTTTCTGTGTAAAATACCAAAAATAATACAAAAATTGAATTTGTCATTTTTCAATACGTCAATTTTGTATTTAAAATACGTAAATGAAAATATGAAAAATCAAATAAATGAACGTAAACTCCAAATTTCCAAATCGAAATTAATATTGCAAGAGTTGAGTTAATGAAACGAGAGGGAAGGGAAAATAACAAGCGTTCTGGGAGGAAATAATACTTCTTCCCTCCGACAAAAGAAATAAAATGAAAGCAAACCGTTTCTCGTTTAGTTACAGATTTATAATTCATCCGCTTTTCCAGCTTCGAAATTTTCCGTGCGATTTTTAATTGAATCTGGATCGGAGTTGATATAAATCTGGATTAGAACGTTTCTACCCCCAACATCTTTAATTTGATTTTAATCTCTGTTTCTACTCTTAAAGTTTCGTTGTGCTTTGTGTACCTTTTTCTCTCAATTTTATACACGTCTGGTTTCGAATCTTCGACAACTTCTTTGATTGTTGCTAATTAAGTTTCATTCACTGTTTTCTAATTAGTTTAGTTAGTGGAACAAAAAGAATTATACTTTACCTGTCTTCAAATTTGGTTGCGTTTAGAAGTTGATAGGTGTTGTATGCGTTATGCTGGTTGGTGTGGTTGATGAATTCGAAGGAATTGGTGACTGGCCACGGTTGGACGTGCTTGAGGATGTGCGGATTAAATGAGCTGTTGCTGCATCCATCCGTGCTCAAAGTGAGCAACTTTGCAGGGGGTTTCTCGACCGTGAGGCCACCGAAGGTGATCCAGAGGGTAAACAAGTGGCCGGCAATCACCCCAGTCGCTGCACCCTGCCAAACACATATACACACACGGATAATGTTAAAGAAATAAGTAAAGAAAGACGAAGAAGTGGTAAGTGGTACAGTTTGCAGCTCGAACGACGACGATGCAACCGGACTTACAATTTCAAGTTTTCAGCTATTAGATGAACACTTTTTGAAAGTTTGCACAGTTGTACTTTTTATTTAAACTATAAAGTTTATTTTCTTTTTAAAATTTATGAAATTATATACAACTTTCTTTCATTATTCACTAATTATTACCCAAAAAATCAACAAAAAATATGCATCAAACTCTTAAAATTTAATATTGTATAATTTTATTTATATTAAGAAAGAATTTACAAAGTTATAGCGATTTTTTTGTGAAAACTTATTTTATTTAAATAAAATATAATATTTTATGATTAAATTAGAAAATCTCTTTTATTGCGCTTATTTTTATATAAGAAAATTTGAATAATAATAATTAATAATTGAGATATAAAGATTTTTAGATTTGTTTGTCAAATTTTCTCTTTTTTAATTACTCTTTTATTACAAATGCTAATTAAATCTTCTAAAAATTATAGACAAAAGTATGATCTTTCCAATAAGTCTATTGCCAAATTTGTGCTTTTTACCAATACCCTATATTTTATTTTTTATTTTTGAAAATTAATGAAACTTTTTGTTTTTTTTTATCAAGTCTTTTATTTAATTACATGGTAATTGCAAAGGTTAATTAGATAGTCTAATATTCAAATTAAAGGTAAAAGTATGAACTTTCTAATAAGTATACTGCCACATTGGTGATATTTAACAAAACTATGTACTAAACATTCTAATTTTAGTAAAAAAAAAAGTTGTAAAGTCTTCACCATTTATTCAATTATTCAATGATTGCAAAAGATAATTAGAATAACGAATAACCAAATTAAAGTCAAAAGTATAATTTTTCCAATAAGCCTAGTGCCAAGTTTGTGATCTTTACCAATATTGTATACTAGACTTTCCAATTTTAGCAAATAAATGAAAAGTTTCCCTTTACTTTTATTATTTAATTACTCTTTCATTACAAACGTTAATTAGATCCTTAAATGATCACATCTTTTTAATAAACCTACTGTCAAATTTGTATTTACTAAATTTTAAAATTTTAGCAAAATAATGAAAAATTTTCTTTTTTCGCTTGTTTTATTTAATTACTATATAATTACTAACGTCAATCAGATCATCGAACAATCAAATTAAAAGCTAATATGTGATCTTTCCAATAAACCTACTACATATTTGTGGTATTTATGAATTCAAAACTATCAAATTTTAGCAAATAAATGAAAAGTTTCGTTTTTTGTCACGTCTTCACGTTTTATTTCATTACTCTTTTATTACAAACAGTAAGTAGATTATTAAATAATCAAATTAAAGGAAAATGTACGATCTTTTTAATAAGTCAAATTTGTTGTACCAATATCATGTACTAAATTATTAAATTTTAGCAAAATAATAAAAAAATTCCATTTTTTGTCACATCTTCACGTTTAATTTAATTATTAAATAATTGCTAACGTTAATTAGATAAACAAACAACCAAATTAATGGAAAAAATATGATCTTTCCAATAAGCCTACTTCCAAATTTGTGGTATTTACCAATATGATGTACTAAATTTTTAAATTCTAGCAAAATTATGAAAAGTTTCCTTTTTGGCACGTCTTCACCTTTTATTTAATTACTCTATAATTACAAACGCCAATTAGATAATCAAGTTAAAGGCTAATATGTGATCTTTCCAAAAAGCCTGTTACAGTTTTGTTGAATTTATCAATGTAATCTTTAAAACTAAGAAATTTTAGCAAATATATGGAAAGTTTTGTTTTTTGTTACGTCTTGACATTTTATTTAATTACTCATTTATTACAAACAGCAATTAGATCATTGAATAATCAGATTAAAGGTAAAAATACGAACTTTCCATTAAGCCTATTTTTTGGTTTATGATATTTACCAAAAGTAATGTTTATAAGTATCAAAATTTAGCAAATAAATGAAAAATTTTGTTTTTTTTTGTCAGGTCTTCACGTTTTATTTAATTATTCTACAATTACAAAACCTAACTAGATCATCAAATAAACAAATTAATATCAAAAGTGTGATCTTTCCAATAAGTCTACTGTTTGGTTTATAAACTATCAAAATTTATAAAATAAATGAAAAGTTTCGTTTTTTTTGTCAAGTCTTCACATTTAATTTAATTACTCAATAATTGCAAACGTTAATTAGATAAACGAACAACCAAATTAAAGGCAAAAATATGATCTTTCCAAAAACCTACTTCCAAATTTGTTGTATTTAAAAACATGCACTAATTTTTAGCAAAAGTTTTTTGTTTTTGTCACATCTTAACGTTCTACTTAATTATTCTATAATAACAAATTAAATCATTAAATAATCATATTAAAGGCAAATATATGAGTCTACTACCAGATTTGTGCTATTTACTTATGCTATGTACTAAATTTTAAAATTAGAAAAAAAAAATCCAGAAATGAGAAAATTTTCTGAATTTATTTCATTGCAATTATTATGTACTTTTCAATATTCATGTTTTTAATTATAAACTACTTAAAAGTTTCTTTTTGAGCACATTTTAAACGTTTTACCATAAATTTGTTGGATAGAAAGAAAAAATGTAAATTTTATTGATTGATTGCTAATGTTCTCTTCTAAAGTTTTTGGACAATAAAATTTCTTTTTCTTACCTTCCAGTTGCAAGCAGGTATAAGCATGGCTAAGATGAAGACTCCCAACAAAGGACCTGACGTGGCCGAAGTTACAAGAATCGAAGATTCGATAACACCAGAGAGCAGACTAACACCAAAACTGATTCCCATGATGACGAATCCGTAAACGACTCCAATAGTCTTAATAGCGTACAGCTGATGCTTATCCTGCATTCCCTTCATAGCAGGAATCGGCCTCAAGAAATCCTCGAAAGTCACAGTAGCCAAAGAATTCAAATTAGACACGTTCAAGCTGACAAAAAAAGAGAAGGAAATGTGAATTCCATAAAAACATCCGCACCAGCACACATGTTTACATGTCGTAAAAAAAAGGACCTCGTAAAGTATTTATACTTTATCCTTTAAATGTATCTTTCGCATCTTTTACGACCGTTGTTATAATTATACCTCAGTGCGCCGTTGAAGAGGCTCGCCATGAAGAGACCCATAACGCCTGGTAAATAGTTGAAGCGATCCTCGACGAAGAAGGGCAGAATCTCGTCGTACTTTTTTATGTATCCGCTGCTCAGGGGGTCGCAATTCGCGTAGATTGCGTACACGACCATCCCGACGATCCACGATAAACTGAACAGCACAGTTATTACTGGTATATTGAACATTAAAGTCCTGCAATAACAGCAAAGAAATACAAGAGAATGAATGAAAAAGTAACAAATTTTTGGTGGAGATGTTTGTTATTGCACTCACTTCGTCACTTGCTTCTTCGAATCCATGCTGCAGTATCTTTGAACAAAGTTCTGTTGACATCCGAAGATTGATAAGGACATGAACAGCTGTCCCAGAACTGCAGAGATTGTCGTCACTCGCACTGAAGGATCCAAATCGAAACTGAAAATTTACAATTACAACAACATTAATTAATTAATCTTAAAATTAAGAATTTCATGTAAATTATAAAGTAAACTATATAAAAAATACAATGGACATAAATTTAGGGAAAATCTTTATAGTTGTAAGTAACTAATTGTTATTTCACCAATTAGGTAATAAATAATGTAAACTTAACTAATTATTAATAAAAATTTTACAATTTCACAAAAATTATCAATATTTTAATGAAGCAAATCTTAATTTAGAATATTTGTTATTAAGAAAGAAAAAACAGAAAATTAAATGTAAAATTGAAGAAATTACAACAAAAATATATAAATTCAATTAAAATCAGTACCATTTTGATAATAAATAATAGAAACTTAACTGATTATCAAAAAAAGTATATAATTTCACAAACATTATCAATATTGTAATGAATTCAATCTAAATTTATGACTTTTGTTTTTAAGAAAGAAAAAAACAGGAAAATTAAATGTAAAATTGAAAAAGTTACAACAAAATTATATAAAATGAAAATAAAATCTTCTCTACAATTTCATGTATATAACATGATCATAACTCTTTATTAATTGTAGAGTAAAATTAATAAAGAAATTGTATACAAAATTGTTATATTTTTTAAACTAAAATAATTGGAAATTGCTCAATAAAAAATAAGATAAAAACATAAATTAATAATATAAAATGGAAGAAATCAGTGAAATTTTGATAATAAATAATAGAAACTTAACTGATTATTAGAAAAAGTATATAATTTCACAAAAATTATGAATATTTTAATAAATTCAATTTAAATATACAATTTTTGTTATTAAGAAAGAAAAACAACAAAATTAAACGTAAAATTGAAGAAATTACAACAAAATTATATAAATTCAATAAAAATCTTCTCAAAAATTTCATTTATAATAAAATTATCTTAATGTATTGTATAAAATTGTAAGTAACTAATTA